CTGCATTCAGTTCTGGGGACCAGTACTGCATTCAGTTCTGGGGACCACATTGCAGGAAGGCTGTAGAGGCTTTGGATGGAGTGTGGAAGAGGTTTACCAGGATACTGCCTGGATTAGAGGATATGAGCTGTAAAGAGAGACTGGTAAAACTCAGTTTGCGTTCTTTGGAATGTGGAGGCTAGGGGGAGGCTTGATAGAAGTCTATAAAATTATGAGATGCATAGATAGGGTTGACAGTCAGAATCTTTTTCCCAGAGTTGAAATGTCTAATCTGAGGGGGCATGCATGTAAGATGAAAAGGGGCAAGTTCAAAGGATATGTGAGGGACAAGTTTTTGTTTTACACAGAGAGTGGTAGGAATCTAGAACACTATGCCAGGGGTAGTGGTGGAGGCAGATATGAAAGGGGCGTTTAAGAGACTTTTAGATAAGCATGTGAATATGCAAGGAATGGAGGGATATAGACCAAGGAAACGCGGAAGGGATTAGTTTAATTTGGTGTCATGTTATGCAGGGTCATCTCAGTTTCTCTGCCACCACCCCCCAACCTATCCTCCCGGGAACTGACTCAGCGCTCTCAAATCCAACCCTGACTTTTGTAATTAAGATTGTTAATAAGGATGGTGGTGTTGTTGTCAGGCTGACTGACCTCTACATTGCAGAAGCTGAGTACTAGCTCTCAGTTACCTTCTCCTGTCACCCCCTGGACCATGACCTCACCATGGAACATCAGGCCATTGTGCCAACTATGGTCACCAACATCATTTAATCTGGTGACACCCCCTACCACTAGAATCACTGCCACCACTGCTTCCAAGCTGATAGTCTCTCAATACCACACAGCTCATGTTTACCTCCTTCCCAAAATCCACAAAACAGAACTGTCCGGGCAGACCCATTGTTTCTGCCTGCTCCTGCCCTACAGAACTCATCTTTTCCTATCTTGGCTCAGTCTTTTCTCCCCTGGTGCTGTCCCTGCCCACTTGCTTCCACGATTCCTCTGACACTTAACGTCAGTTTAAGAATTTCCAGTTGCCTTCTCTTTATCATGGGCATGCAATCCCTTTACATGTCTGTACCCTACCAGGATGGTCTGAGGGCTCTCCGCGTCTTCCTGGAATAAAGGCCTGAGCTGCCCCCACCCACCACCAGCCTCTTCAGCCTCATCCTCACTCGAGCAACTTCTCTTTTAAATCATCTCCTTTTCTTCAGGTTAGAGGGGTGGTCATGGGTACCCGCGTGGGCCCCAGTTATGCCTGTCTCTTTGTAGGGTACTTGGAACATTCCTTGTTCCAGTCCTATTCCGGCCTCCACCCACGACTATTTCTCTCGTATGTCAATGATATCATCGGCGCTGCTTCCCTCTCTCTTCCGGAATTGGAAGAATTTATTGAGTTCACTTCCAATTTCCACCCCATCCTCACTTTCAACTGGTCTGACTCTGACTCCACCCTTCCTTCCCCCAACATCTCTGTTTCCATTTCTGGGTATATACTGGCCACCAATATCCACTATAAACCCACGAACTCCAACAATTACCTTGACTATACATCCTCACACTCTGCTTCCTGTAACGACTCTGTTCCATTCTCCCAGTTCCGATGATGCCACCTCTGATAAGGGAGCTTCTGAAATGTCCACCTTCTTTCTCACCTTTTCCCTCCCGTAACAGCGATAGGGACCCCCTTGTTCTTACCTACCCTTTCACGAGCATCCACTGTTATTTCTGCCACATCCAGCAAGATACCACCACCAGACACACATTCCTCTCCCCTCCCTCGTTAGCTTCCGCAGGGTCTGTTCCCTCCAGGACACCCTGGTCCACTCTTCCTTCACCCTAAACATGCCCTCACAGCCACATGGCTGTGCAACTGCTGAAGGTGTAATACCTGCCCATTTACCTTCCCAGTATCCAAGGGTCCAAACACACCGTCCAGGTGAAGCAGCACTTTATCTGCACTTCACGCAATCTAGCCTACTGCATTCACTGCTCATAGTGTGGTCTCCTGTACATTGGGGAAACGAAGCATAGACTGGGTGACTGCTTTGCAGAACACCAACATTCTGTCCACGAGAAAAAGTCCCCTGAGCTTTCAGTTGCCTGCCACGTTAACACTCCAGCCTGTTCCCTGGCCAGCATCTTTGTCTCAGACTTACTGCAGTGCTCCAGCAAAGCTCAGCGCAAGCTGGAAGAACAACACCTCATTTTTCACTTGGGGATCCTGCGGCCTGCTGGATTCAGTATTGTGTTCAACAACTTTGGGGCTTGAGCTCTCCCATGTCCTTACCCCACCCCCCACTCTCCAGGCCTTGCTACTACACACAACCCATTGTTAGCCAGTAAGAGTCCCCATTGATAGCTATTCATCCTCCTGACAGAATCGTTATCGATCCTTTGTCTGTCCAAATGCTCTTGTTTCTCTTTGGGCTCTATCCCCACCTATCATTTACACCTGACCTCCCTCCCCCCTCTTCTGCGTACAAACGGACATTTTACCATCAGTTGTGAGGAAGGGTCACTTGACCCAAAAAGTTAACTCTGATTTCTCTACACATATGCTACCAGACCTGCTCAGCTTTTCCAGCAATTTCTGTTTTTGTCTCTGATTTACAACATCCGCAGTTCTTTGTTTTTATTCAGCAGTAATATGAGCCTGGTATCTGTATCTGAGGCATTGAGCACAAAAAAACTATGGTCAGACTGCATTTGATTATTGTGAGCATTTTTGGTCCTCTTCTATAAGGAAGGAAGGTGCTGGCTTTGGAGGAGATCCAGAGGAGGTTTACAAGAATGATCCCAGGGTTGAAGGGCTTGTCGTATGAGGAGTCGTTGAGGACTCTGGGTCTGTACGCAGTGGAGTTTAGAAGAATGGGTGGGGGTGGCACCTGATTGATACTTCAGAATTCTGAGGCTTGAATAGAGATATTTCCATTAGTCGGAGAGTCTGTGACACTAGGGCACAGCCTCAGCGCAGGGACGATCCTTTAGGACTGAGATGAGGAGGAATTTCTTCAGCCAGAGGGTAGTTAATCTGTGGAACTCATTGCGGCAGAGGGCTGTGGAGGCCAAGTCATTGAGTGTATTTAAGGTTCTTGATTAGTAAGGGGATCAAGACTTATGGGGAGAAGACAGAAGAATGGGGTTGAGAAACATACCATCCATGATTGAATGGCGGAGCAGACTCAGTGGGCCGAATGGCCAATGGCTTCTTATGGTCTTATGGTCTAAAGCAAGACAAGACAATGCAAGTTAGGGATGCTGTGAGCATCCATGAAGGCATCCATGAGTGAATGCTATGAGAGTGAGCAGAGATGCACCCTTGTCCAGTCCATGAGCTGGGTGTGTGTTCCTGAATGCAGCTTTACACTGATAGCTGTCATTGCAGCCTGAGATGCAGCGTTTAAGTGCAGAAACATCCTGTAAGTGAGTTATAGATATGCCATGAAGATTCTTAGAGGATGGCCCATATCAGGTGATAATATCTGTGGACTTAGTGTGTGCGAACTGAGCCTGATCTGAGATGTTGGTACCTAGTTCCCTATTAATGGGTATGTTGGGCCATTGAAAAGGCATTTAATAAGCAGTAATGATTGTTAATTGACAACTTGTCACTGCCTGTTAAAGAAAAAAAATCACCATGCCACTTGTGAAAAGCATGAAAAATAGTGTGAATTGTTCTCCACGTTGAGATGGGCCCAGCTGCATTTCTTGTCCAATTCTGCCACATATCCGGGCGTAGCCTACATCACTCAGCCTCCTATAAGCTTTCTACCTTTGGTTTTGTTGTTTCAGTGAAAGTTTGTGCATGGAGGGGTTGTAAAATATATTGCTTAATATTATCAAATGGGTTTATAGGATGGTTTTGGACAAAACATGTCAGAAACACTGATATTTATAATTTTTATTTACAGTTAAAGACCTTTAAACATACTGTTACAACAAGATTAGTAATGGATTTCAAAGTTTCTTTCTTTACCCATATTTGACAGCAGCACATAGCAAGTAAAATATCTGTTTCTTGAGGAACTGAAATATCTAAAGGATTAAGCAGAATTCAGAATCACATTGCCGTGGTTTTACCTAGTTAGTAAACTGGGATAAATATATAATACAGTGAATAAAAAAAATTTTATTTTTCAGATTATGGTTGTTACATTAGGATACTAAATTTCTCTATAGCAAGTATGAAACGTCTTTGTTGAAGTCTCAAATTGAAATTGGAGCTTTTCTGTACTTTTAATAAAAGTAGTTAGAATGGGTTATGACAAGCTATATCGTTTCATACTTGCTATAGAGAAATTTAGTATCCTAATGTAACAACCATAATCTGAAAAATAAAATTCTTTTTTATTCACTATTATATATTTATCCCAGTTTACTAGCTAGGTAAAACCACGGCAATGTGATTCTGAATTCTGCTTAATCCTTTAGATATTTCAGTTCCACAAGAAACTGATATTTTACTTGCTATGTGCTGTTACATAGGCATTTTTTTTTACCTTTAGCTCCTTTCACCCATCTCCTTCCCAAGAGGTCATTGATGTCAGCATGGTGGCTCGGTGGTTAGCACTGCTGCCTCAGCGCCAGGGACCCACATTCGATTCCACCCTTGAGCGACTGTCTGTGTGCAGTTTGCACATTCTCCGCGCGTCTGCATGGGTTTCCTCCCACAGTCTAAAGATGTGCAGGTCAGGTGGATTGGCCATGCTAAATTGCCCATAGTGTCTGGGTGGGATACCCTGAGGGTTGGTGTGGACTTGTTGGGCCAAAGGGCCTGTTTCCATACTGTAGGGATTCTATGATGTTATCTCAGAGTCCATCAAAACCTCTTTGTAGCAACCAAACCACTTGGTTTAAGCAAAATGCTATAGCAGCTGTGAATCTGACATGCGGACATCTCTGGAACTAGTCAGCAGGTTGGGACATCATCTGTGGAGAGAGAGACAATTGAATTTTCAATAGAATAGTCATCAAAGGCAGTTAAATTAATTTTTTGACATATAATTATTTCAAAATCATAGTAAAAGTATATGATTAAAGGGTTAGGTACTAGGTGGATGATTTGGGTTTAAGGAGCAAGCCTGTTGCAACAGTGGAAGGGATACATCATTTGAAGTTGAATTACCTGTTTTGCGAACCTGTGTGAGAATGTTTGTTTCTTTCTACAATGCATTGGTGTTCTTGGGACAACACTCCTAACACTTGGGTCCATGCCTATTTCTTTTCATTGCATCCTGAACATCTGTCTGGAGAGTTTCATGCTCACTGCAGATGCAGGAGCTTTCCCCTTTCCATTTTTTCACCAGCACCTCCAATTCATTGCCCCAGCTGTAGTTCACCACTGCTACTAAATTATCTGACTGCTCATTCGACATCCGGTACAGAGTGAGCAAATATTTATTCGAATGAAATGCTGAGACACGGAAATCATTGTTTTCATTCCCGGCTCAAAATTCCATTGCCTACCAACCATCTCCATCCTTGTCCAGGCAACAGGTTGTAACTAAGCCAGTCTGTGACCCTGAGATGAGCTTCCCATCTCTCATTTGTGCTATTTCTAAGATCGCTTGCTTCTAGCTCTGTAACATTGTTTATTTAGCTCCATGTTTTGCCTCGTTGCCTGCTGAAACCCTCCTTCATGCCTTTGTTATTGCTGGACATGACTATTCCAGTGC